CTGTTTTTGAGTATTACAAACAACTTTTATTTGAACAATTTTTATGAAAAATTATTTTTTTACATTTTGTTAAATTTCTCAAATACGGACCATTTTAGGGCAATTTGGTATAGAACAAAAAATATTGATAAAAATATTGTAAGTAACTTTTATAAGAAGAATTTTCTTCTCTAAACGTAAATAACAGATATATTCCATAAAATATAAAAATGACAACCAATAAAGTACCCCCCAGATGTTCCGACTCTGCCCAAAATCTAATCAATTCATTGGACGCCGGAATAAAGCTTAAGTTTAAAATTTGATGCTTTTCTTTGTATCGGTTCATGAGTTATGGTGGATACAGACACACACACAACCACACACACACCACACACGCACACACGCACATGCACACACGCACATGCACACACGCACATGCACACACGCATATGCACACACACACACACACACACACACACACACACGCGCACACACACACACACACACACACACACACACACGCACACACACACACACCACACACGCACACACACACCACACACGCACACACATACCACACACGCACACACACACCACACACGCACACACGCACACACCACGCACACGCACACGCATGCACACGCGCACACACACACACACACACACACACACACACACACACACACACACACACACACACACACACACATACATACATCATCCCGAAAATATTCAAAACGGATTCAGGGGACCCCAAAACGTAAAAATCCGTCGAAAACTGGAGGTCGAAAAAAATCATGATTCCTATACTTTCCTTATCTGTAAACAGATAGGAAAATAAAATGAATTATTAGAGAAGTTACATATTAAGAAAAATTATTTTAAAATTACGAGTACATAGATAAGGTCGAGTTGTCTTCTAAGATTCAAAAAATTACCTATTACCTACCAAAAAGTTCATGTCCGAGTGGTGTCCTGGGTTGCCCCGCAAAAAAAGATCTATAAATTGAAAAATATTAAAATTACTTAACTAATTTACCTAACCTGTGCGGCCTAAAGCCATCGCGGGTCGTTACGCAAAAAGTATGCATAAAACAACAATAAAACACTAATTTACCTAAGCTATGCCTGAGCGATTGGTTAAATTTAAATAGCTCTAGGCTGCATAAGTTAGTTAAATTATTGAAGTTTTTTTTAAATTTTCGCATTTTATGTATTTTTTTTGCGAAGCAACCCGTTATGGCTTCAGGCCGCACAGGTTATATATGTTTGTTAAGTTAAAATTGTGGGGCAACCTGTGATGCCTCCAGGCGATGTGATCGGACACTGGCCGGATGCTGTTTTGACTGACGCTATTTTAATAAGCGCTATTTCGTGAAAAAGCCGTTTATTTTCGACATCTTGACATTTTTATCTATTTAATTTTAGGTCTACTGTCTTTTCGATCACTTGTAAATTCAATCAATTGTATTTCGATACGCAAAGACCACCATTCTCAAAAATTTTATTATAATTCTCCAAAAAGATGAAAAATGTTAAAGTTTCACCTTTAACACCCTGTATCTTTCTTATTATCAATATTTTACTAATTACTTATAGTAATAATTTGTTAAAAATCTACTATACCTATACTTCTCTGTACAATTACTTACGGTTCACTCTGTATATATGTGGAAATAAAATGATATTACATTTTTAAGGTTTCTATTGCATTTTTGGTAAATTCTTCTTCAGTTAGCCAAATATTTAGTTCACATAAACCAGCACCAGCGTCAAACTTCTGTATATATTATATAGGATATTCTTCATTGTACATTTTTATATTTTTGCAACTTGTGGAATCAATTATTCAAAAAATTTAATACTTCTTGTTTGTGCTTGATAAAACGCATGTCAAGCTGTGTCATAAAAATCGTCGAAAAATGGGATAGCAACAGATATTCTATAATATATCTCGGGTGTTTTTTGAAACACATATTTTTTTGCTCGGTTTGTTTGTTTCCCCTATATACAGAGCGTATATATTAATATATTTTTTTAATTTCTGTTTGGACTCCATTAAAATTAGCAACACCATGACAAATTTTTACAGTCAAGTCCTATTTCCTGAAGAAATTTGATTGTTAAACTAGCTAAAACCTTTTTCTTTTTTAATTTGGGATTTAATTCGAAATATAACTCTTTATTTTTAATTTTTATTCAAGTTTAATGTTGTTTTCATTTTTTTCTGCTTTTTCTGCTTTTTTTAGGACTGCAGTCGAATTTTCTTGAACTTTATTATTTGATTAATAATTTCGGGAGGTTCTAACCCTTTAAATACGACCTTGTACATAAAACTACATAAAACATAAAACTAAAGGATATCCTTGTAAGTATAAGGTAGAAGTATAAAGGTTTAAGTTGAAGAAAAAGGTAGGAGTATAAGCATTTCCTTTTCTTCGTATTCATAATGATTACCTTATACTTGCAAGGATATCCTCCAAGAATAAGTAAAAGATTGTGCGTGCCGCGACAGATTCAAACCAGTTTTCGATGGTTTGTTTATTTACGGTATTTCTTTCTTATCGGAGTTAATTTAATTTAATAAGTGCAGTATACTTCGATCAGAGAAGATGTATTCGTCAAGCAGCGATAGTGAAAGTACAGAAAAAGATAATGCTACAACCGAACTGCAGTTTATAGCAGATGAAATTGCCAATGCCCCCGTAATTTTGGAAAAATCCCAAACACCAAAAATAAAAGCTAGAAAGGATGAGGCTATTAGAAATGTTACCAGGAAGTACGAGGTAACATTTGGTAAAGCACTGGATTCAAAAATAAACAATATGAAAGGAAGGTTAAAGAAAAAAACAGACATGAATAAAACTGGAAATAAACCAATCAAACTGTTGGAATGGGAGAAAAAGTTATTGAAGGCTATGGAGGGCGACAGTAATCCTACAATTGGAAAAATCGGAGGCGCACTGCAAGTTGGTATTGAAGATGGATCTACTCAGCATAGAGTAAGTGAAGCTTCTACTACGCGAAAAGAGACTAAAACAGCCATCAAACCACAATCTAGTAGTACCAAGACTGTCGAATCTCCTCTGCCAACAAGAAAAAAAACACCAATAGAAAAGTACGAAACCAATGAAACGAAAGGACAACCAAAGAGCTTCAACGGCTAGTTATTTTAGAGCAGTATCAAACAACTAAAATTCAAAAAAAATACTATGAAAAAAAGTTGCAGAGGATGACGCGTGAGGTACCAGAAACAAATATTGTTAACGAGGGGGAGTTATCATACTACAATATGTAAACAATTTACCAAATTTTCCCGTACAACCGTATTATATCGATAATATTATAATATGTTGTTATAATAATACTTAATATTATGTTAAGTAACTTATTATTATTATTTTTGTAGGATATCTAGTTTCTTTAAAAAATCCAGTATACTTAGATCATAAGGATTTAAAATGTAAAAGAATGGTTAATTTATTAATATTAAAAAATTTGCAATAAAATAAAAATAAAAAGATTGCATTATTAAATAAACTTAATAATTATTTGAATTTTGTTTTGTAAAAACCAAAATGATCTAATGGCGTAAATAATAAAACTAAATTAAATTTGAACTTTTATTTTATACAGTACCTAAATTTAATTGTCAAATTTGTTTATTACAATGCTCAAATTTCTTCTCACTTCTTGTCCCCGTTGGCGAAGAGGTAGCTCAACGTCGCCATTAATATCATTGTCATCTTCTTCTGGCACTCCTTCTTCAGGTGCTTCAAAATAGATGTCTTTCAAAGTTTTTGCCACATTATGAAGCACAATACAGGCAACAATTATTTTTGGCACATTCTCCAATTTCACTCGGCAAACATGTTGCAAAATAGGAAATCGACGTTTCAGTTGACCAATACAACGTTCAATTATCACTCTCTCTTTTTTTCAAAAGTTTATTATAATTTAGTTCAGCACCTGGAGCGGGATTTCTGAATGGAGTCATGAGCCACGGCTCTATACCATATCCATCATCAGCAGGTAGCACGATGTTGGTTTTATTTTGTAAATGAACCCTTATTTGTGAATTTCTCCATATTCTTGAATCGTGGACCGATCCAGGCCAACTAACGTCTATACTAGTGAACATTTCTCTTGCATCACAAGTGGCTTGCACATTCAGTGTTGGATGACCTTTTCGGTTGACATACTCATCACCATGGCGATTTGGTTTTAGAATTCCTACGTGGGTACAGTCAACTGCACCAATTGCTGTGGGAAACCTATACTTGTTTTGCCATAACTGTTTCGCTATCATAAATTCATTGTTGGTAGTCGGAAACTTTATCCAGTCATTTGATTGCGCCACTATGCTGTCAATTACGGTAGTTACTGTACGAGATACTGTAGCTTGACTCACACCCAGTTCTTGACCAATGCCTTTCTGATATCCAGGGTCACTGCGATAGCGTAAACATATCTGCATTTTAAGGACGGATAATAACGCACCTCCTCGAGTTTCAGCATTTATTCCCAAAAATCTGTTATCAAGCCATTGCACATTTCCCTCTTCAAACCGGTATAATTCTTTGTAATCACGAACAGGTGTTGATAAACGCTGCTTGTAGTGTTTAATCTCTCTCAATTCCACAATATCTGCCATCGCTACAACTGATCACTACACGACTGATGTGAGTCTGCTACTGACCACACTCGAAATTATTGAAGGATATCCTTTTTAGTTAGAGTAAAAGGTAACGTTTATGAATAACCAAATACTCTTTGTGAAGGATTTGCTCATACTCTATAAGTATAAGGTTTTACTCGGAATATTATGAATGCGAGATGAAGGATTTCCTTTATATTCTCCCAGTATAAGCATAACCTTTTTTTATGAATACGGCCCAAAATTTACCTCTAATTTCGGAATACACTGTATAGTGTTAAATATGAATAAAATTTTACAACTGTATTTATATACTAAACTATAACTAAATAAATGAATAAAAAAATGAAACGAATTGCAGGTATCATCAATCAACAGGGTATTACGTAACTTAGCCGCACAAAAAGAACAAACTTCGAGTCCTCCTGCATCGAACGGGAGCGACAACGTTTATGATAAATTACGGCTGTTAAACGGGAACCAAACGAGTTGGAGGTCTCCGACGTCCTGGTACTCTCCTGGAAACCCGGCTTTCCAACTGCAGCCTTTAAGTCCGCCTTCCACCATTTTAGCCGAAGACAGCATATCCAAAAAAGGTAATAAACACTCTTCTTCTTAATTACACATCTGGGGTGGTTACATTTTATTTTATTTAGATACCTATTGAATACATTAATGTAAATGCGGTTTGACCCATATTTTTGGTTTAGCTTACATAAAGAAATTTTATGATTACAATGAATTGAAACAAAAACCGTATTAAAAATGAAACTTTGACTGTATAGCCCATACCTATAACCGTAGAGTCATAGTGTGTTTTGTAGAAAAAAATCGTTTTAAAATGTTGAGGTTTCAATTTAGAATCCCATATTTTGTTATAACGATAATAACAGCTGTAGGTACCTAATAATATACGATAGGTACAACAGTCTACTTTTGTATACCACCGAATAGGTATTACTAGTTACCCTGCTAATCTTTTTTGGGGTTTACCTGAATCAAACTCAAAGATTCCATTTGTACAGATAATAAGGTCTAAATATTTATTCGCTTTTTTGCATGGAATAATAGTGTTCGACCAGGAAATAAGTTAGGTACCAGTACGGCTTAAATATTTCTTTGTAGACGATCAATTGTGTACAACTGTTATGTATATTACAATTTATTAGATATCAATATAAATAGGTATACATAGTCACTTCGACTTTTGGAGATATAATGTGTTTATATAGAACAGTTTTTGTTATTTTAATAACGTTGTACTATGCATAGTCTTTTAATAATAATTGTTATTTTTTTCATTTTAAATAGAATAATTCATTAAAGCTTTATAAGAATAATTATCAAAATATCTGCATGGTGTGATAGTTTAAAAACTTACAACGGTTATATCTCATTGTAAGATGTCAGAGAAGTAAAACATAATGTGTCGAGAGTCGAGAGGTCGGTATTCTTCATTTAAAGGCTTTTTGGTGGTTTAACTTTTTTTTTTTTATTTAGAAACGAGTCAGATAATTTTAATAATTCGTCGGCTTGAGATGCAAATGGCCTAACTCCACTTTTAGTTCAAAATGATGTATTAAGTTGGTAAAAAAATTAATCGCGTCGACTGAAAAACGCCTTTTTTTTTTCCTGGGCTCGTCTGACTTTGTGTCTCCGAATAACACTGAAGCCTATTGGCTTATTGTGTTTTACCCCATGTTAGTTCATAGCACCCACTCTATCACCTTTGTACCTTGTACAAGTTTGTACAGATCCTTGGGTGAGTGGGTTCTATACGTTGTTGGATCAACCTGAGGTTGTCCAAAAAGAGCCTCTCTTTTGCGATCTAGAGCTTCGCATTCGCACAGTATGTGTTTGGCCGTTTCTGGTTTCTTGTGACATAGTCGGCACATGAGTTCCCCATTGTACATGCCAATTTTGTTCAAGTGTCCCTTTACTGGGGCGTGCCCAGTCATGAACCCTGTTATCACTTTCAACTGGTTCCTATTCATTAAGAGTAGTTCTCCAGTTCTTTTGGGACATGGTCTGCCTATGAAGCTTTTCCATGTGCCTGTTTTGGGGTGCTTCCCCAATAGTTGATATGTTGTTCCCGAATCCAGTCATTTATAAAACCCCGGACTGTACTTTTTGGTACTCCTGGGTTTGTGTCTGGTTCAGGTGTTTCTTCTGACCCTCTTTTTGCAAGTTCGTCAGCCTTTTCGTTGCCTTCGATCCCTTTGTGACCTGGCACCCAAAATAGTTTTATTCTATTACGGTCTGCCAGTGTTCTTAGTTCTTCGATGCATTCCCATACCAGCCTCGACTCGATATGGCCTTAAGTGCCGCTTGGCTGTCTGACATTATTTGAATATGCTGATTTTCGACAGCTCTTTCATTGTTCGTTTTTGCACATTGCAAAATTGCGTATACCTCGGCCTGAAATACCGAGGAATGTATTCCTATAGCATAGCTATGGTTAGTATCAGGGTTTTTGGAGAATACTCCTGCCCCAGTGCCTTCCGCAGTCTTAGACCCGTCTGTATACCAGGTTTGTTCCTGTCGTTGGGCATTGGGCTCCCTTATGGTGATCTCCGCTCTTTCCTGTATTAAAACCTCAAAGGGAGTATTAAAAGAGTACCTCTTGGTTAAGTGGTCTGATCTCATGTCTAGCACGTCTCCTGTCACTAACCTTGAGATACTCATGTGACCTGGCCTAATGTCAAGATTTCCCAGTGTATTCCCTAATCTGTAAGCACCTAATCTTGCCTCCCCTTGTATCACATAGTGAAGAGGTGGGAGTCCATTGCAGCAGTGGGGGTTGTTTTCATTGCCCCCGTTATTCCGAGGCAGGCAAGTCTTTGTACCTTGCTAAGCCTCGTTATTGCTTTCCTTTGCTGTGTCTTTGGCCACCACACCAAAGCTGCGTATGTTATTATGAGTCTCACCACCATGTTATAAATCCAATATACCATGTCTGGTTTTAACCCCCATTTTTTTCCAAAGGATCGCCTTGCCATCATTAATGAGGTTTCCGCTCTCCTTGTGGTTCTTTCTAGATGCTGGTTCCAGGTAAGTCTCGAGTCAATCATAACCCCGAGATATTTTACCTCCCCCTTAAGCTGGATGCTTGCACCTCTTAGGTTTAGAGGCCCTAGTCCCTTACTAACGAAATATCAAAATTGGTGTCACAAAACACGAGTCGAAATTGGCCTATTTCCCGCTTATCGTATAAAAAATTCGTTATGTTTTCACTTTCTGAGATATTTTTGTACCTCCTGAATAATTTTTGATTTTGTAGTTAGGCCATTTGCAATAGAAAGTAAAAATTTCTGTATTGGATAATTATCTGATAACATTTCTTTAAAACTTAACACAAAGGAAGTTATGACTTTCGATCGTTTAAATTAATCATTTTGCAAGTACATAAGTAATTTAAAAAGTTAAAATTACACAAACTATAAATTATATTTTATTTATAGAGTACTTTATAAACTACTTGGTATAGGCCATCAATTTTCAATAAAAACAAAACTAACCCCAGTAACCTTATAATAGTGCCCTTCTACGGCAAATCAATTACTAACTACAAAAAGTTTATAACTCTACACTATAAATAAAATATAATTTCTATATCTGTACCCCAGAGCCAGAGTATGGTAAGTCCAAAAACTTAGTTTTTCAGGAGAGCATTTTTAATATATTCATTTTAGAGTGTGGACTGTGGGCTTAGCGTAGTTAAAAATTAGCTATTTTTGTTATTTTAAAAGATACGTCAAAATGGAAAATGCCAAACGATGCGCCGCAAAATTTTAAGTCACTTAACATATTTATCTAAAATTTGGCCAATTTGGACTTAACATAGTATGGCTCCGAGGTACAGATATACAATTTGTGCAATTTGTACTGTTAAAATTACTTGGGTACTTTCAAAATGGTTAATTTTTAAGATTTTCTTGCATTATAAGTTGAATTAAACATCAAAAGTCATAATTTCTTATATGTTTTAAAGCCTAATTAGTAGGTACATGTTAATAACACATAAAATTAACACATATATGTTAAATTTTTAACATATTTCTGCTTATAGAATAGATTCATTCATAAATTTACAGAATTGCTTTTCCTATTTAACATACGTTATATTTTTAACGTCCTTTAAATTTTAACATATTCGTTATAGAATTACTACCTACTATTTTATGTTAAAATCGTAAATTTTAACACCCGTTAAAAATAAACATATTGAATTATAGAATTACCACTATTATCATCGATGATATGAAGAAGAGCCGTTGCAATTATGATTTTTTGTAAAACCAATTTTAAAACCATCATCGTCGTTGAGTATTTTTTTAATGTGCAAACAAATGTTTTAAATTCCTACTCTTTGTAAATAAAACTCGAACGTCTAGTAGGGTTTAGGTAACTATCAAGTAAGCAAAATTTCAAGAGAGCGCAGCATTTAAAAAAAAAAGACCGAAATTGTTGTTTCAGAATAATGCACAATCATCCAGAATGTGGCATTTGCACAAAGCATAACTTCGTTTAACTGAACAAATTGAATTAAATTTTAATTAATGCGTTTTGAATTGTTGCAAATTAAACGTTAAAAAGCCGGACTACGGCGTGCCGGTTGCCGGTTTGAAATTCCATTTTCCATTTTCAATTTTGGTTCACTCGGATCGCGCGCGCGATGCTCCAGGCAGATTTTCGCAATCGGATTTTTTACCGAATGTGTCACTTGCAGTGAATTTGTTACTGTAACACAAAGGGAGAACGCTCAAGGGCACGGCCGCTCTGCATTATACCAACCCAACCAACCACCGTACGCCATACGCCACGCCGGCCGAGGATTTTCATATCAAACGGACTAACGTAAATTGCTTCTTAGTTAACAATTATGTTTCGTGTTTCTCCGTGTCACGGATATGTTTCACACAAGAGGTAAGGGATGGCACCGTTCAAATAAAAAAGTTTGTTTTAGTTAATGTTTCATTATCGAAGGTATAAAAGTGTAATTCCAAATTCCTTCGATTTTTAGAAACAGATATAGCAGGGGTAGAAGTTGGAAAGGCATTTGCCAGTTCTTCCGTTTTATACACAAAAATTGACAGGTTTGCGCGGATCTAACCGAAGTTGTCGCGATACATTGGCATACAAAATTATTTTATTGATGTTAATATAATGTTTGGTATTTGTATTCGCTCCGTGCGCGACAGCAGCGCCAATTCGTTTTGATACTAATGGAGGATTTCGGCGTATACTGACAAATGCAACTTTTAATAGAATTCGTAATTAAAAAGTATACATGTTAGTTTTAATAAAAATATGTGGATTTGTAAAACAAGTAAAACATTAATTTATTATTATTATATATTTTTATCGCTTAAATTAAAGAAAATTATGTATAATTGATAAAAATCCATAATAAAATATAGGCAGGCAACAGTATTTACAGGAAAATGTATGAGAAGTTGCCTAAGTCTAATAAGTTTTCATTGAAGAATTAGTCTATTCTGTCAAAATACAAAAATACCATTTAATAATAGCGTGAAGTTAAAATGTATAAAAAAGGATCATTACTTATATATTCATTTTTGTTCGAAAGAAAACA